AACCTCACTATATGTTGTTAACAAAAAATTATGGTTGTGAAAAAAAAAACAGGTTGATTGACAGGTTTTTAAATTGTGTCCAATTCGAAAATCTATAATTTACCAATAATCGTATCTCAATACTATGAGCTCGAGTACTTTACATAAAGCCATACCCAACAAAGAGAAGGTTGAATAATAAACATTGCCAGTGGTTTAGTAATTTCTGAGATGGCGTCATCCACACATACATACACTTTGTTTTCCACTTGAAGGCTGTAATTTATGCAGGAGATAAACATATTGATGTGCAAACTAGATTCTCAAGGCATGCGACATTTTAAATATGTAGTAATTATTATTATTATGTTCGTATGTCTTCCTCAAAGGATGTATAAAAAAAGAAACATATAATTGCATAATATAGTATCAGAAGTGTTATTTGACTGCCTCGGGTTTGATTCCCGGGTCGGGCAAAGTATTACTGGGTATAGGTATATACCTCTATACTGGGTTTTATAAAAATCTCAGTAGTAGCACGGAGTCTGGAATTGTGCCAGGTATATGGCAATAGACTCACCCCCTATTACATGGGATTCATAACATAAATAGTGAAAAGTGGGTGTTACATTGTACAGTATTTAAATTTATAGGCATGATGTTATGTTATGTAAGTGTTATTTGTAGCTGTGTGCTGATAATATGGCTACTTTTTTATCGATTAAGTTCTTAGTCAAAATATAATATATACTTGGAGAGCTTGTCAAAATTAGTAAATATGCCAAAGCATAATTAGGATAAACGAAGAGATTCTCCGTTAATTTTAAAATGAAGATGACTTTTGACACAATCCTAGTTGGTACATCCATTTATTCATAATTCATACCTACAACTTTCTATACATTTTTCATTTTGTTTTTCTTCTAATATTTTCAATGGTCGTTGATGTCTTTTGTTCTATAAGTCTCACGTAATAGGGAGAGGAGTGTGAAGCCAAGCGCAATATCAAGTACTGGAGTTGAATGACAAATCATTGTAAAACCGAAATTAAACTCTAATAGTACCTACCTTAAAATAGTACCACGGTACCAGTAGTAGTACGGAGTCTGGAATTGTGCCCTGTATATGGCAATAGTCTCACCCCCTATTACATGGGACTCATAACATAAATAGTGAAAAGTAGGTGTTACATTGTACAGTGGCATAATGTGCACCACTGCCTACTCCTTCGGGGATGAAAGACGTGATGTTATGTTATGTTATTAATTTATTACTAACTACAATTATTATATATCAAGAAAGGCGTATAAAGAAAAAAGTAAATTAATAGTCTACAACTGAAGGCCACCTGTCTCTGATTCTACACTCAGAAACACTCAAACTATATAAACCAGTTAATCTTGGTCTCGCTTTCGTATGATCTCTCCTCACAATCAAGAGTCAGTTTATACTGGATACTCATTATATAAAAACCAATTTATCTTGGTCTTGCTTTATGCGATCTTTCTACATATTCGAAGCTCAGTTTATACTGGTTGTGTGTAGTGTGATGTGGGTACATATTTGTGCAATCTTTAATGCATCACTTTTATCGCGAGATTGCTTGCGTCATAGTTTAATGTTTTAGTTCAAAATATAGTGCTTGTAAGGTCATAGATTTTATTTGCAAGTGTTCTGTTGAGGCTAGTGTAATGTCGTGTTGGTCTGAAGGTTTAATGATTTAATGAATAGGGTAGATGCCTAATATTTATTTTGATGTCCGTCTGGTAGATTATTTTAAATCATTAGACACGTATTTTTTATTTTCTTACAGATACGAATACTTTCGACGATATATTGATTAGAAATGTCGCATGACGTCACTTCTATGTACATACATTTTATACGTAGAAATGACGTTTAAGCCCCAACTTCTAACCTACGTTATACGTTTATCTAAGTGTCATTTTATTATACGACAAAATAAAAAATACTTCTCTAATATTCGTCTAATATTTTTTCATTACCTAACTGACGGACTAATGATATTTTAATTTTCATACCATGCCATCAGCTCTCATACATAAGAGTGCGGTCGCAAAACCTACCAACGGCAAGTACAAATCTGACATTTTTCGAGTTATATGTACTTTCTAAGATAATCTAGACACCACTGACCAACAGTGAAAGAAAACATGATAAGGAAACCTGGGCTTACATTTTCTGAGTATAAGTTTTAAATCGCCAACCTGCATTGAGCAAGTGTGGTGATTGATATTCAAATTTTCTCCGTGTGAGAAGAGCTCTGCTAACAGTGGGCATTTATAGGCTATTGATGTATATATGTGTAAATATACTGTTGAGGAGGATATCTTGGGTTCATTTCTCGGGTTGAAGAGTCCAACAGTGTATATTTATGGGCTGTTGTTATAGGTTGGTGTTAATCTTAGGGTCAAAACTAGCTCGAATATCGGATTGTTTCGTTGGTCGAGTCGACTAATAAACAGCTTCTTTTTTTTAAGGAGTGCCTATCATACAATGGCTTCTCCCACCTTGAGTGAGGCGAGAGAGTGTCAGACTCTTACACTTCTCTTGACTAAAACCTATATCGTGTCTACTCCTGCTTTGAACCGGAGCCCCGGTAACCCGTTATGTTACCTCCAGCTCTAGATTGGGTACCAGCCTTTTGAGTCCAATTCCTAGGTTTATTTTTCGTTTTCTCAAAAATTCTCAGTAAATGCAAAGTCTGGAATTGTACCTAACACACATCAGACATTTTTTACTGTACAGACAACTACTGCATTCTTAAATGATAGAAGTACAACTGTAAATTCAGATTATCACACGTAACTACTGAAATGTAGATCTAATCATATTTGACAGTTGTTCCAAGTAGCCAAGCCTTAAATTCTAACAACGAGGCCTGACAGGAATGTAATATTACAATCTTGTCATAAATGGCTAAAAAAGGACTAAAAAAATTCTGTTTGCAAGTTTTTGCTAATCTCTAAGCACAATATTAATATTTAAATCTTATTCTTTATCTTACTAACTGCCTCGTTAGCCGAATGGTCGTAAGGGGACTGTCGTGTAAGGGGTCTTGGGTTCGATTACTAAGTCAGGCAAAGTATTATTGAGTATTTTAAAAAATCTTAGTAGTTGCACGGAGTCTTAAATTGTTTCCGGTATATGGCTCACCCTCTATTACATGGGTCTCATAACAAGTAGTAAAAATTGGGTATTACATTGTACAGTGGCATAATGTGCACCTTTGCCTACCCCTTCGGGAATGAAAGGCGTGATGTTATGTTATGTTAAATCTTACTAATATTATAAATAAGTATGCACTTGCGACCACTCGGCCAACGAGACAGTCATCAAGTTAATGTGATGTATTTTAATTAAATAATAAATTCTTTATTGGTCTATTTTAAACCTTTTTGACAACAATCAGTAGCTTCTACTTACCTCTCATCAACACAAGTTAATATTTAACTTCGCAGCGACACCTATGTAAATAATATAAATAACAGTTGACATACGCTAAAAGGCATTCGACATTCTATATCAGTGTGAGCACGCCATGCAAGTGGTGTGGAAAAAAGGCGAGAGATGGCGTTGTTCTTAAAGTTGACGTTACGATGCGCGATTTTTATAAAACCTTTCTACGTTTTTAATTTTCTCTGAAGATTTATATAGTTAGAAACTGCCATATAAATTAGAAACTGTCATATAAACCAATGTTTATCGACTAAAAAGTGTGGGAGAGCCATGCTTCGGCACGAATGAGCCGGCTCGACCGGAGTGATACCACGGCCTCACAGAAAACCGACGTGAAGCAACGCTTGCGTTGTGTTTCGTCGTGTGAGTGAGGTTACCGGAGGCCCAATTACCCTCCCCTTCCCCAATCCCCCCAATTCCTGTATCCCCAACGATCCTCAAACTCCTAATTCCCCAAAAGGCCGGTAACGCACTTGTAACGCCTCTGGTGTTCCAGGTGTCCATGGGCGACGCCGATTGCTTTCCATCAGGTGATCCGTCTGTTCGTTTACCAGCTTAAGCCATAAAAAAAATTACTATATACCTACAGTTACGGTGAAGGCGGTATGGTCATAAATCTAGGGTTTAACTCTCGAGACGAGTAAAGTTGTTATACAGTATTTGAGTATTTATAATGACTATTAGGTATTTATTTTGTTTTTTTTGCATATTATACAAACCTATTTTCGCTGATTCTATATTTAACAAAGGTTGACTGGGATAAAATGCCATGACATGGCAGCATTAAGTCCGTCTTATATATATACCTTATTTTTGTGTGCATTAACCTCTTATCTGCCGGCATATAAGATACAATAGAAAACATATTGTGTTTCGCGCACATAGTATAAAACAAAGTCGCTATCCGCCGTCTGTCTGTCCCTATGTATGCTTAGATCTTTAAAACTACGCAACGGATTTTGATGCGGTTTTTTAATAGATAGAGTGGTTCTTAAGGAATATTTATATGTATAATACATGCATATTGCACCCGCGCGGAACCGGGGCGTGTCGCTAGTAGTGTCCATATAAATAAAATAAAAATAAAGTATTTGAGTCTGTAGAAGTTTAGGTTTTTTGGAAATTTCAGCAGGAGTATCAGTAATAGCGCGGCGACTGGAATTGTGCTGTTGGTATATGGCAACAGGCTCACCATATACATAATTATGGTGCAGTGATGTTATGTTTTTGCATATATTCGTTAGTCATGTAGTGAAATTCTCGATCGATCCGGTAGTTGTAAACTTGTCATTTGATCCTATCATAAAATTTTGAGGTGATCGTTGATGTCTTTTGTTCTACGATTTCTCAGACATGCAAATATGATACGAAAAATATAACTATTACTCAAAGAAACACTGAAATACTAAAGGACATACAATAAAATACAATATTCATATAAAAATATTTTATTAACGTACAAAAATAAAATTAAATAATTATTTAAAAAAAATCAATATTTCTAAAAATAAATAGAACTTTTATTATTTTCTAATCACGTAATCCTTATTTTGGAAATATTTACGGACTATGAACATTTCTCTTTATCGTTTTGGAACCTTAATTTTGGTTACCATGAGTATTTGGTTATTTTTACCCCCTCCCCCCATCCCAGGGGGAAAATGCCTCGTCCAAGGTTAGAACCTGATTTTTCCTTGGTAAAAATATATTTGTGAAAATTTAAAATTCCTTTCGATGATAGGCCGAAATTTCCTTGTTGTCATAACTTAGGCTTCCGATATACCAAGTTTCAGCGTTTTAATGTATTACTAATACAATAAAGAGCAAATATTTGTTTGTTATCAACGAGAGTTGAAACTTTTATATATTTAATAGGTTGAAGTTTATCACGCTTGGTGGTGGCCGACGATGGAGCACGCCTACCTATGAGCAGAGCAACCTGTTCACTCGGGACTTGAAGACACACAGATCCCGGCAAAGAATTCAATTCCTTAACGGTTCTAACTACTGGGACTAATAAGAGAAAAAGGGATGATTATATAATTTTTTTAGGCTTAAGTGAAAATGTAGAAAAACTATGTTCAGTATTGGACGTCCTTTGGCTGTTATTATGATGAAATGAAAATGTAGATGAAGCGAAAGAGTTAAGTATCTCTGCCTTGTCCAAAGGAAAATAGGTGTGACGATATGTATTGACGTATGTATGTATGTAGTATATGAAATGGAATGAAAATGTAAGTCAATGAAAAATGAATAATGGAATTTCGGGAAATTCATGATCTTGGACTAATGTTTTGTAATGTGTTGAAACATTTTCCTGATTATAATGATACTTTATGTAACATAGACAATGACAATGATGATGAATGAGAAATAATTGAGTTTTTTATAAAAAAAATCGTAAATAAGAACTACCAGTAGCATTGCGACAGTTGACATGTCACGGATCGCGGAATGCTACTCATAAATATGAGCCTCTAGCATGGCTTGAAACTAGTCGAGTTCCTCGTCAAACAGTAACTTGAGTGAGCCAATCGTAGCAATTGGCGTTCCATAGTCGCTGCCTACCCCCTTGGCAAGTTCGTACGTATGTAGGTATGTATTTATGTAAAGACCAGCGAAACACATCTAATGACAAACAATGATGTGATTGACATAATGAATGTATGATTTTGATGGAACCAATTATTGTTTTATGGAATAGGAGGCGAACGAGCTGACGGATCACCTGATGGTAAGCGATCAGCGCCGCCCATGGAACTGAATGATGATTCATTGAGTGAAAGATAATAATATGGTTCATGAAATTACTGATTAAAAATGACAATGAATGATGGTTACGGACATTTAAAATACTTTTATGTAATTAATTATGAAAATATGTTAGAAAATGACAATGTGTGAATTGAACCTTTTTATGATGGATACTAATTGTGAAAACATGATGATATGAATGAATAACATGATATGATTGGTGTAACAATGAATGACAAATGAGTCGATATACATATTACATATAAATTGCAATTACAAACAACTGACTGAAAAATCTCTTTCAAAAACTGAAAAATACTATTAACGACTGTTTTCCTTTTTTCTTATTTTAAATTACTTTTTCTTAAAAACAAACTCTATTTACAATAAGTTAGATTTGTAGCAAAAGGCACATAATTTAAGTTTTTCAAGGATTTACGAGTTTGTCTATCCATGGTACGAATTTTTGTATGTTTGTGTATACGCCTGGTAAGTGTTCTCGACCGCAGCCGATGCCCCACGAGACGAGGCCTATGAGGGTGCTTCGCCCCTCCAGTTTCATTGTTAAAGGGCCTCCGCTGTCACCCTGGCAAGAGTCTCTACCACCCTGGAAATTAAAAGTTAAAATTAAGAATTGTATTTATTTATTTATTTATAGAATACATCTAAAAATAATTTTGTTTTAATAAAAGGTTCAACGGGCTTTTTTTTAAGATTACAAATACCAGTGGATCACATGATTGGAAAATAGTTATTCGGTCAGGACAAAGAATTATTTCGAGAGAGTCAAACTTTGAATACTGATCTACTAAGTCAAATGTGCAATAATAATATAAATAGCGGACAGCTGTTGTCAGTTCGAATTAATAAGATAACTGACGTAACTATCTATCTATTGGCCCTTTACCTGTGAAATTGCAATTTTTAGCATGAAATTGTCATTGCAAGGTGACTAGTTTTATGAAATCGTCGTTTATCTACAAGAATATCTGGTCAAAACCATTTTTTTTTAAACCTTGCCCCACACTAGGATTTTCTCCCATGTTGTGGGTGCGTTCACAAACATACAAGTTCACATATACATGACACCCAGACCCGGAACAACAATCTGTGGATCACACAAAAAGTAGCTCCGTGCGGGAATCGAGCCCGCGACACGTTGCGCGGCAGCCGGTTGCCCAGCCACCGCACCAAACGTGCCGTCTAAAAACATCTTTATTTTCAAAATAATAGGCGTGTTATATTAGTAAATACAATTTATACAATACCTCTTTATACCCTGCACAAAGGAATACGTCATGGATGGTCTCCCTTCTCCCAGCAGCTCGGAACCACCGCTGACAACGTTCATTAGGGATTACTTCTACATCCACTTCCTGAAACGTTACAAGAAATAACTTAGTTTACTTGCATTTTTTTTAAATGAGTACTCGTTAGAAGAGAATATTGTGTTAATAACTAAGTTACATCCCACTCAGATTATTGACAAATAAATTGAAGTGATGTTCAGTTCAATTTGTCCAACATTTTAAAAGTTGCCCAACTTAGAACAAATCATAAACAATTTTGTACTACTTTTACTAAAATGAAATTAACTATATTTTATACAATGAACTACGTTTTACATTGATGTATTTTTTAGTTATCTGTATACTGTACTCTCAGAAAAAAACACACAAAATTAAACTGCATGATTAGTACATACATAGATTGAAAATCACCAAAGGACCCAATATCGCGCCTTGAGGAACTCCCGCGAATTTTACAACAAATACAAGCAGTTATAACATTACCTGTAATACAGAAGGCACAGAGCTCTGTCCATGCCTCGTTCTTCCCCATCCGGCCACGGTGGCCATCTTTCCAGCTAACTTCATCTGCTTTTGAGGAAGACATACCTGTAAACATAATGAGGTACGGTTATCAAAGGCCTCAGAAGAGTCTTAGAAAATGTTGAAGAATATTATTCAGGGAAAAAATTGGAAACGTGTAGTAAGGTATTCGACTCTTATTCATTTTCTTAAAGAGTCATTTAGTTGTAGATTAAATTACAATAAATTAATTTTGACTAACTTCATATTGAAATAACAAACAGTCATAAATCAACGTCTAGTAATTTGTCTCCCATTAATGAAATTTATGCTTAAAAAAGCATAACAGCATAGTAATAACTTTATGCCATAATTATAGGGAATTAAACCATTGGTAATTCTTTTTTCTATTTCTTTTTTCTTTAAAAAAATACCTCGCCCCACACTAGGATTATCTCCTGCGTTTTGGGTGCGTTTACAAACATACAAGTACACATACACATGACACCCAGACGCGAAACAACAATCTGTGGATCACACAAAGAGTTGTTGTTTTCAGTTACCCAACCGTGCAGTTAATTGTCAATTGGGAAGCTGCATAGATATAGAGCAATGATTATGCTAAATACTTACAGGTAAAATATGTTGTTTAAAAACTACGCCTCTATCAAGTTGGACTAGTGCCACATCGTTCCTGAAGTCAGCTGGTTCATACGAGGGATGCACCTCCTTGCGTTGTACTGCGAACTCCTCGTGGGAGTACCTCTCCCCTGAGTCCCGCACGTCCCACTCGCCGAGACGAACGCGGAGCTGGTTATTTGGAGTGCTGAAAGGAAATGTGGTGATGATCACTAATAGGACACACTAGTAATTATTAATAGTGACTGCCTTGTTACTTGAGTAGTCGCGAGTGTGAATGCCAAGCAAGCGGTCTTGGATTTGATTTCCGGATCAAACAAAATACTATCAATTATTTTTCAAAAATGATTTTTTTTTATGGTATAAGCCGGTAAACGAGCAGACGGATCACCTGATGGTAAGCAATCGGCGTTGCCCATAAACACCTGGAACACCAGAGGCGTTACAAGTGCGTCACCGGCCTTTTGGGGATTAGGAATTTGACGATTGTTAGGGATTAGGGAGATTAGATTCAAGGGTAAGTGATAAAAAAAATCTGGAACAGTGAGTTATGGCTCACTCCCAATTCAAATGTTTAAAATTTTTATTTTTAACACGATGCTACAACAAGATTTTCTCCTGTAAATTATTATGTTTACTACTGACGCGTTGCTACTGACAGTCGCCGCGTCGTGGGTCACGGAGTAATGCTCATGAGTATGAGCCTCTAGCACGGCTCGAAACTAGTCGAATTCCTCACCAAATAATTACGAGAGTAAGCCGAAAATACAGTGAAACAAGTAAAATAAGTGACATATTCAGAAAGATATAAAATGTGCAATCATCAACAGGATATAATTTACTACATCAAAAACTGTACTAAAATTAAGTGAATCAGCACTTTAAGAGTATAATTTCAAAACATTATTAGTCAAAACGGATGTAGAAAATAGTCATTAGTCAACTAGTCATTCCTAGAATGTGTATTACATAATATGAATTAGATTGAAGAGTAGTCTTTAATGCTGGCGCCACACAAGTGGGCACATGTCTGGCGCTGGCGTAAAGAGAATGATGCTACAAAATTTATTTATTTATTTATTCGAAGGAGTACGGCCACATCACAAACATATAACATTGAAAATACACAATAGTAACAAAATAAGGGTCTGATGCATGCGACAACATTTATAACATCATCACGCCTTTTTATCCCCGAAGGTGTAGGCAGAGGTGCACACTACGGCAGTTAATGCCACTATACAATGTAACACCCACTTTTCACTATTTATGGTATGAGTCCCATGTGATCACCCCAGGGGGTGAGCCTATTGCCATATACCGCGCATATTTCCAGACTCCATGCTACTACAGAGATTCTTTAAATACCCAGTAATACTTTGCCCAACCCGAGAATCGAACCCGAGACTCGTTTGCCGGCTGTCGCACTTGCGACCACTCGGCCAACAAGGCAGTCATGTTAATTTTGTTTTTAATGTTATTTTAACATCACAAAAAAGATATTATATTTGTACGTAGATCACGTTTAAATCTAATTACAAAATTTTAAAATAGTTCGCACTGAGAAGGTCTTTTTATGGATTTTATCAATCAAACATGGGACTCATAACGTAAATAGTGAAAAGTGAGTGTTACATTGTACAGTGGCATAATGTACACCTCTGCCTACCCTTTTGATGTATGTGATGTTAGATATGTTATGTTGTCGATCAAAACTCATGATTCATAATATTTTAAAATATATGTATTTTGGTTAATCTTATTCCGGGTCTACAAAGCATAATAATATAACATTATTATACACTACTTCCTTTTTGTTAATCTCATAAATATTCAAACAAAAAAACAAGAACAAGATTATACGATTATTTTCAAAAAACTAGACCAAAATTACAATCTTTTGGAACCTTTCAAAACGGAAACAAAGCGATGATTCACATTAACAAGATCCTTACATAACCTATTACATAAACATAAAACCATCTTTACGACTCAAACATTACGGTTTATTTTCGAAAAACAACGACCCACTTAAACGAGAAAGTCTATAATTACGTTTAAAAAAATTGAGACTATGAAAGTAGGTAAAGTTTCAGCGAGTAATGAAAAAATTAGTGAAATTATAACGTTAATGATTGCTAGTACCGAACCGAAGAGTCTTTAGTTATTTGGGTTTTTAAGCGCCAAGCTGTTGTTGTTGTTACTTATACATATAATGTCGAGACAGAAATAAATATAACATAACATAACATCACGCCTTTTATCCACGGAGTGGTTTTTTTTTAAGGGGGGAAAATCATCGAATTTCTGCTCCCGCCTGGGTGAGGCGGGAGGGAGTGTCAGACTCTTACTGACTAAAAACCACCCCGTTCCTTCTCCTGCACGTCGAGCCGGAGCCCCGGTTACCCGTTAGGTTCTCCGCGACTCCGAATCGGCATCGGCTCTATTGGGCCCCATCTGTGGTGGTCTGATGGCTCTTTGAGGCGCGCGCGGAACGCGACGCGCCGTACGCATCCACGAAGGGGTAAGCAGAGGTGCACATAATGCCAGTGTACAATGTAACACCCACTTTTCACTATTTATGTTATAAGTCCCATGTAATAAGGGGTGAGCCTATTGCCATATACCGGGCACGATTCCAGACTCCGTGCTTCTACTGAGATTTTTTTTAAAACCCAGTATTATATATAGATTATTCTATAAGTGATGTTTCCAAAACTAGGAATATTTTTTGATTTTTGTTATAAAGTTTCTATGAATCCTTTCAGGTATGAAAAAACTATCACACATTTGTTAGTTGAGCTGATTGGAAACTGACACATAGGTACGTGCTGCCATCAGAACAGCAGTTGTAGCCATATGCCATTTAGCGATTGTCTACATGTAGAATAGAAAACCAAATTATATGGAATTGACGTAAATTTTGACACTTGTCAGTGTCATCCCCATACATTTTGATTTCTACTCTCTCTGTAGACAAGCGCTAAATGGCATTTGGCTAGAGTAGCAGGTCCACTCAAACTGTTGTGAATCTTTACTCAAAAGACCTCCAGAAGACCACTTGCACGGTTCTCGTACATTATAGTTACAATCTGTCTGCATTTTCAAAGAGAAAATTATCTCTAAGTTTGTTTCAGTGTTTCTTCTCAGAGTAGTCAGTTGGGAAATGCTGATCCTTATCTAGTAATTTAAAGATTGACGTGTAAAAGTGACACTTTGTAACCTATTTGCAGAAATAAATATTATTTCGAAACCTGCCACCGGCAAGTACCAATGTGACTTTTTCCGAGTTATATGTGCTTTCTATGATTATTTAGACACCACTGACAAACGGTGAAGGAAAACATCGTGAGGAAACCTTGGCTTATAATTTCTAATTACAAGTCTGTATTCGCCAACCCGCATTGAGCAAGCGTGATGATTAATGCTCAAACCTTCTCCGTGTGAGAAGAGACTTTGCTCAGCAATGGGCATTTATAGGCTGTTGGTGGTGGTGAAATTGTTTTATTTCATATATTTTTTCTCCCTAAAGTTACAAAATTGAGACAGCCAGGCAATACTATCCGAGAACAACTGAGACAGGCTGATTTTTTCAATTTAATTTTCAATATAAGAACTCAGATACTTACGTAGCCACACAATGAGCAGCAGTGATCACCCATCTGTCAGAGATCAGAGCTCCACCACAAGCCAGCTTCTTGCTCAGGAACCCTGACTTGATGAGAGCAGCTTGCCACGGATGGGAACCAAAGCCAGTCGAATGTCCACCAACAATACGGTTGGACCGGGTGAAATGCTCACCGCAACCTGAAATGAGTAGGGTTGTATTAGTTTTTTGAATCAAAATGAGCATAAGAGTAGGTTTTTGAAATTGGTGGTTGTGTAATAAATGCTGGAAAGTGTAATGCTGTGTTTGGAAAGATAAAATAGCCAAAGATGACGGTTTGTACTGATTTTGTAGAAGAATAGCAAAATATTGAGTTCTTAACAAATAAAGGAACTGAAAACTTTATATGAAAATTAAGATATATAGTAATGGTGTATACTTTAAATTAAAATATTGCATCTAAGACCGATTCCAATTAAATTGAGAAAATTAATTCCTTATATCATTTTTGATAGGTAAAATCTGATGGATTGATGACTTTGAATATTATAAGAAACAATAAAAAGGCAATTTATCACTTGTAATTATTACCACAAGACGTAATACTATAATACAAATATTACTGAATGTCAGTATTATATACACGGAGTAACTGCTTAGTAATATTGTCTTTAAAACCTACCAAAGATGGTGCATAAAATATGTGGGTCCTAAGTGCTCATGTAAAAATTTATAAAAAACAAAATTATTATAAATATATAATTACATAACTACATAGATGTAAGTACATATAAATTGAACCAATTTAAAAATAAGATTGACGGAATTACGAAAAATATATAAACAATTTAGATAAAAATACAATTAACACATACACACAATATACATTTTAGACATATAAACATTAACAAACAGTTTTAACACAAAAATTAACAAATATATAACATCAAAACTTGTCATAAGCGAGTGCTGTACAGTGCATTGCTTGTGTTGCTGTCCATTGCTTAACATGCAACGTCTACTAAGTCTATTTGCTGAACGTACACCGTCTCATATGTCTATTTGCTAAATGCAACAATAGTTTAGACATTTTTTGACGAGCAACTAAAGATATACATAGTCATTTAGATGAATGCAACTTGCAAAGTTTCTCTAGAAGCACGTCTAAGACATTTGATTTAAGTTACTTGTTATGCAGTTATGAAAATTACTGTAGTTGTTATTATACTTAATTGCACTCTTTTTCCCCAAGCCATATCTTTCGTAAATATTGTCTAATAAATAACCAATCATAAAGTCTCTGAGTTGAATTAATCTTCATTGTATTACCTATACAAGGTGTTGTTTTAAAGCCGCGTCATTTTCTAAGAGGTCACTCGGCTATCTATTCTGAGTCCGAATCAATAAAAAAAATTGTAAGTAAATATTTTTCATTTTTCTGTAATTTACGGAAATCCGTAATTGTGAACTACACGCCGTCGTCTTTTAACTTGCTTTATAACGCGGCTTAACACACACAAACTCAAACACGTAATTGATATTATTCCTAATTCCATAAAACTCCAATAAGAAGCATTGCTGTCGCTTTTTCTGAAATACTGTCCAACTGAAACGATTTATTATAGCCGTATTTTTAACTATTGGCCCGAAATTTTCTCTTACATTGAACCTTTATGACTTCTGTGACATGCCGCCGAGAAATGACACGGTTTCAAAACTACACCTTGTATACAAAATAACTAATCTGACTGTATATTGCCAATCAAATTACTAAAAATCAAATCAATAGGTGCTGAAATAATCTAGTGCATGTTCAATAATGTCTGTCTTGTTGCATTGCTGGCATTGCAAATTTAGAATTGCATTATGACGTTATTTAAAGTCAGCAAATTGACAATAGTAATGACGTAATTGGTGCGTGATGATTATGAAAACGCAGTGCAAATGTAAAGCAGGAAAGAAATAGAATTTTTAGGCGATGGAACTCAAGTCAAACAAATAAAAAAAATAGTAAAACATCAGCATTGAAAAAAAGAGTTATAATTTGATTCAAAAAGTAAGCAAATCAAGTTAAATATGTCAAAATCTTGAGCGCCATCTTCGAAAAATTTGGAAAAATAAACATAAAGCCTAGTTCACAATATCTCACCCGGGAAACTAGGTCGCGACGGCTTATTGCTAGTGTGTACTGGCACATAATCATCATCACCCTGTATAGTGTTCCCGTCATGATAAAAATCATCAGGTTTTTTCGTGGTACTCTCATGGTAAGAGGGTTTTACATGGTAAAAATGATTTTGGTTCCAAGATGGCCGGTTGTTACCGGTTTGATCCAGTTCTGGGTGGTTTGTGTCCGGTTTTTGGTGGTAATCCGGCTTGGAGTCAGTGTAAATGATAATTGGATCTTCAAATTGGTTTGTGTTGGTTTGGTAATCGTAGTTTTCATGTGGAAATGTTCCGATCAGTTCGATTAGATCACCTGGTGAAGGGTTTATGAGTTAGTCGTATGGTTGTGAATGGTTATTGGTAAGTTATGAATTGAAAACATAAATATTTTAATAAATTTGTTATTGCAAACGTGTATAGTAGTAACTTATGAAAATTAGTATGAATATTAAGGCTTATATAGTATTTCAATTAGTCCCTTAAAACATAAAGGGTAGTATAGCTAAAAATCCCATATTTCCGTCTTAATTTCATCAGGTTTTTTCGTGGTATTCTCATGGTAAGAGGGTTTTACATGGTAAAAATGATTTTGGTTCCAAGGTAGACGGTTGTTAAAGGTTTGATCCAGTTCTGGGTGGTTTGTGTCCGGTTTTGGTGGTAATATGGGGGTTGCCTGGAAAGATTTCAAGGAGTTTTGTAAATTGGCAGTTATTTAGATCTTGATGTGAAGAGCACATCCAAATCCACAAGATTACCAATTTTTGAAACTCCCTAAAAACATTTCAGGCATAACTACCAAATGATTGAGCTATATTTAAAAGGTCAGATGTTCATTTTGATTAAAATGCAGGTCGAAATAAAACTAAACTAATGCATCAAACTATTTTCCGTTGTTTTAAGTAAGTATGTGTCTATCTTATTTTTTTAATGGAATAAGCCGGTAATTGAGCAGATGGAACACCTGATGGTAAGCAATCGGCGTCGCTCACGGACAACTGTAACACCAGAGGCGTTACAAGTGCGTTACCGGCCTTTTGGGAATTGGGAACTTGAGGTTTGGGACGACGAAACACAACGCACGCGTTGTTTCACGTCGGTGTTCTGTGAGGCCGTGGTATCACTCAAAGATTGATCACAACACCCTTTAAAACAAAATTGGAAAGTGTTTAACTTCGATCCAAGTTAATAGCACATGTTAGTCCGTCATGGTTGAAACATTTACAAACTGTTAGCTTGGGAAACTGCCCTGAGGTGTAAGAGAAAGTCCTGCCCATTGGACCGGTAACACAATACTAAAAGGCTAGGGAAAATAGATAATTAAGTTCGTTATATAAGTCATACTGCCTCGTTGGCCACGTGTTTGTTAGTGCGATTGCCTGTAATTTATCTCAAGCTGTATTCCCGGGTTCGGTTAGATTTTTTTTTGATTTAATGAGAGTTTTACAGTAATACAATAATGAAGACTTTTTTTGAGTAGGGAATATCATCCAATGACTTCTTACGCCCGGATGAAGCGAGAGGGAGTGTCAGACTCTTACTGACTAAAACCCACCCCTTTTCTACTTCTCTACTTCGATCCGGACCCCCGGTGACCCCGGCTCCGTATCGGCATCAGCCCTATTAGGCCCCATCTGTCCACACAGATATCTCTTTGCTAGAGGACGATGACTGGAAATGTATTTTATAATGACAGCGGCCTCGTGTCTATTATGCATATCTCAGATCGTAACTGTCTAATACTATAAAAGCATAATGACAGAACACTTCATTGGCTAAGTGGTTGCAAATTCAACTGCAGAGGGTGTTGGGTTCGATTTTCTGGTCAGACAAAGTATTATTGGATTTTAAGTTTTCTCTACATGATATGTATATGGAAATGGTGGAAATTGAACCTTGTCTGTATTTTAATAGCTCTGGGAATTAAAATACTTACATAATAACTTCACGCCTGTCTCCCATGGGGGTAGGCAGAGACACTGGAACGCCAATTACTACGATTCCTACATACCTCTTTCGCTTCATCAACAGTCATCAATCTTTTCATGCATGCTCATCGGTTAGGCCTCTGCTTCGAATTTTGCGCGGAGCGGCAGGATCTTATGCGTGAAATCAAAGGGACTGGTTCTCGAAAACACAGCGGCATTGCGGCGGGCAACGAGCGGTGCACTCTAGTCAAGCAGTGCCAGGTGCTTTTAATTTGGCCCTTCTTTAATAGGTATATCGCCAATCTAAAATACTTAACATATATTTTAAGGTACAGGCTCCTGTACGGTCTCAATCTATTTTGAATACCATACGCAAAATTACTTTCATTGTGAAACAATAGCCTCGCTGATTCAACTCAATGCGTTTTGAATAAATTATCAATAAACGTACATAGAATCGTGAAAGTAATATTACGCCATACAATAATACAGTACGGTCTGTCTGTCTGTCTATACGGCAAGAGGTACGGAAATAAATACGTGGAATTATCTTGTGCCGTCGACCAATCAGTGCGTAAAGTTGTTGGGTTGTGGTCTAAGGCAGGAGTGTAGCGTTTTGGGATTTCAAGTAAATGAAAAATAAAAGAATTTTTAAAGGAGGGAGCAATTTTAAAGTTCTGTACGACATTTATGTTAGTTTTATATTGATTTCTGAGATTATATGAAGAATTAACTAAACTTAGTTAAAGCAAAATAGGTATTCAATCGATTCAAAATTTTTTTATCTATACTAATATTATGAAGCTGACGAGTTTGTTTTTTTGTTTGTTTGTTTGAACGCGCTAATCTCCTAAATTACTGGTCCGATTTGAAAAATTCTTTCTGTGTTGGATAGCCCGTTTATCGAGGAAGGCTATGGGCTATAAAAAATCACGCTACAATTAATTGGCGCCGGGCAGAGCGAGTGAAACCGCGCGGAAGTAGCTATAGTATATTCATAAAGCCAGACAAAAGAAAATGTTTGGATACTGTACATCCAAAAATGTAACCATTTTTACCAGAGTTCTAATTCTTGTTGTGTCATTAAAATAACTAGGAATATAACAATCTAACAAAACTTCTCAATTATCAATCTTCAAATTCTATATTTTCAAAGTCAAAGTCAAAGTCATTTATTTCAATTACACCAGGAAGGCACTTTTGAACATCAACAAAAATATTTAAAAGTGAAGCTACTTGCTCATTCCAAGGATTTCTATGGAGAAGAACGACTAAGAACTTCTTTTCCAATCAGGTTCACAATACAATTCTCTAGTATATCCCCTGTGATAGTGATGCGGACGAATACTTTGACGCCTAAATTGAGGGTGCAATTTTTATTGGTTCCCCTTTTTTTACTTACATTTTATTTAATAGTTTAATTGTAGTTAATTTTAAGTTTAAATATTCTCTAGTTACATAGTTTTGTTGTTTGGATTGTGCGAGAACAATGTTACACCAAATATCCAGTCAAAGGGATCGGAACAGAAAATAACTTAAACCATAATTTCGACAATCTCTCTTCAACAACAATAAAGTCCTAAAAAAAACCTAATTTTCTTCACCTCGCTACCGCTTTCAACTCGGACCACTAGAGAGAGTTGCATACGACGCGTTATATTTCGTAACTGAACACAATGTCAAGCGTTTTGTCACTGCAAAGAAACTAATTTTAATGATCTTCATACGACAAGCTATTGCAATGTTATTGTTATAGGACAACCTCTAAAAATGACATTAAATAGAGTGCTGCTTACTCTTCCATGTGAAATTACCGTGAACATAATAGTAGTTTGATTTCGAGGTCGTGTTTTGCAATAGGTACTTTCGTATGTAATCTTTGAGAGGTATAGTTTTAAAACAGACAGTAGGTTATTAAATTAGGTAGGTACTCTTTTCTGACCCTTGAATCGTCATGGCGCTTCTCGTTTGAAGAAGAGAAAGGGGTTCGACTCCCGGGTTGGGCAAACTATTGCTGGGTTTTAAAAAAAACTCAGTAGTAGCACGGAGTCTGGAATTGTGCCCGGTATATGGCAATAGGCTCACCACCTATTACATGGGACTCGTAACATAAGTAGTGAAAAGTGGATGTTACATTGTACAGTGGTATAATGTGCACCACTGCCTACCCCTTCGGGGATAAAAGGCGTGACAATAGATAATCTCTACATTATATTAGTTGTTTACAAGTAAATGCAAGGCCCGGAGGTTTAAGACGCCCGCTTCTCATGCATGAGGGTGTGGGTTCGAAACCTACCAATGGCAAATACTAATGTGACTTTTTCCGAGTTATATGTACTTTCTAAGATTATTTAGACACCAGTGACTGGTAAATAAAAACCTTGCGAGGAAACCTGAGCTTATAATGTCTAATTATAAGTTTAAAATCGCCAACCCGCATTAAGTAAATTCTCCGTGTGAGAAGAGGCTTTGCTCAGCAGTAGGCATTTATAAGCTATTGATGATGATGATGGCGAGACAAACTTTGTAGCCCGCGGGAGAAAAAAGATATTCAACGTTGAAAGTGCCGAAAATGCTCACAGAAAACCTGGAGGTTCTGGTTTGTGATTTTTGTTTTATATTTTTTTCCGTATTAAAAACAAACTACTGGTTATTTATTTGGTCTACAGGATAGAAACGATGTAATTTCAATCCCTTTAGCCATTTTGACATGAAACAGTAGATAATAACAGACACATAAACGCACACACACGCATACATCCTCACAAAGGACAATATCCAAAATGGCCCCGTGTAATAAAGGACATACATACATACATAACATCACGCCTTTTATCCCCGACGGGTAGGCAGAGGTGTACACAAAGCACCGCTAATTAGTTCGTAACGCTCACATCGACACTACTGTCATTTACACAATGTACATGTGTGGGTAATTTCATATTACTGTGTATAAAAATATTCGTCCACCACGTTCACATTGGTATTTTCATTCTTGTGTCGGTATACGTATTTTTATAATTTAATGCATGGGTAAGGTTAAAACTATTTACAATCATTGATATGACCCGACATTTTCACTGTAATTATCGTAGTGCTCGTGGTCGATTGGTTAATGAGTACGCTTTTATCGTCTTTCAAGGATCAATGATGATGTGGGTTCTATTCCAGCTAAAAGTTTTTTTTTATTTTACCTTGTTGTTTTTCTTATTTATTTTTTTTTTGTTTTTTGTCATATAATATAAATATCAGGCTATAAAAGAAGCAAATCAGTCGGTAAATAAAACAATACTATTTTTTATTAAAATTAATTTATTAATTATACAAATATGTGGTTTTATATTCAATATTTATATCTAATAATTAATTATATACCACATGTTAACTTTAAAGTTCTTCCAATCATTCTAAATTATTCTAAATAATAAATAACTAGAACTAAAATATAAATAAAGGATATTATAGGTATAAATAAATCTAAAGTATTTACTATTAAAATTAACATAAGATTTAGAAAAATAGGATAGGAAAAAAAGAAAAGATTTAATTGTTTCTAATTTCACATTTCAAATATTTGATTAATTAATACTAAAACAACATGTGAATGCTGGAATCGATCCGGTGGCACTTTACTTGACCACTGGAGGCGATAACCATTGCGCCAAGCGCGCCGTAGATGAGAACATCGAAATATTGTATATCATTCAGTAACATAAAAATACAATGAGAATGCACTATATTTATATAAGTATTGTATTGCTCGATCGTTCATTATTTTTGATTTCGATTTATTCAAAGTTTGTTATGAGTATTTTTATCTTTACCCTCGTTTTTATTTAAACTTATTTACTAAAATATTACGTATACCGACACAAAAATGATATGTAATACCAAGATGTGTGTGATAGAACGAATGTTTCTATACATATCTATTAATATGAAATTACCCACACATGTTCACTGTGTAAATGATAGTAATGTCGATGTGTAGCGCCTCGAACTAATTAGCGGTGCTTTGTGTACATA